AAAACTAATGACACGATAAAAAAAAATAATGAAATTTTTGTATAAAAAATAAAATAATGAAGACATAAATGTATGTAGTTCTATTTTTGTTTTGTTTTTTTTTCTGTCTTCTTTTTACAAAGTTTTTGTTTTCATATTAAATTTAATTTATGTTTGTATGTTTGTTTAATTTTCTCTCTCTCTCTTTTTTTGACTATTTATTTTTTTCATTTTATTAAAATAAAAATTTCTTTAGTCAATCGTTTCAAAATCGGGCCATAATTAAAAAAAAAATTACATTATTATTATTATTATTAATAATTTTTTTCTTTTTGTAAAAGTGTGATGTATGTATAATAAATAAATTCTAAAACAATTACTATTATAATTATCAATTATTATTTAATATAAAAATTATGTTTTTTAAAAAAAAAATTGAGTATTATTATTATTATTATTATTATTTTCATTTATAATAACGACAATTTCCGTATTAACGTTTGTCAGAGTTTTTTCAACATATATTCCAGGTTTCTATCCTTCTACCTACCTTTAATGAAAAATTTGATCTGATGTATCAGAAAAACATAAGTCCAAGGAGGTATAAAGTAAAAAAAAATGCAACATTAGGTTCAAGCAAAAATAAAATGTCACACCCAAAATAAAACGTAAACATTGGCGTCCTACTTGAAATAAAACGTAAACATTGGATTGCCGCTTAAAATCGTAGTTTTACATTAAAAATATTCCAAAATTTGTTCAAATATATCAGGCAAACTTAAAAAAATGGAGGTGTAAAAAAAACGACACAATTAATGGATTCACACTTAAAATCAGGAGTATAAATAAAAAACAAATAGTATAAAAAACTAATTTTATTTTAATAAACTAGAATAAATTACAAAACTTTTGATACATACAATTTATAATAAATTGTTAAATAAAACTATTAAAATGAATTTAAATAAGTTGACATGCATTTACGTCATGTCAACATATTTAATTCTAATTATTAATATTATTGACACACAAAATATTATATTTAATTGCTATAAAACGCTATAAATACAAATTTCTGTTCAGTTTCTTCACGCTCCCGAGTTCCCGACTCACCCGTCGAGTTTCCGCTCTGGACGTCGAGAGATATCGCTGTCGCGGGTCAATGACATTTCTCCCGGGGCTGCTGTTTAACTGGAAAAAAAAAAAAAATGAAAAGTAAAAAAGGAAAAGAAAATGTTAAATAAAAGATGAAGTAAAAGAAAAGAAAAAAAAAAAAGAAAAAAAATTCATTTCATTCCCCACCCACAACTCGCCCCGGAACTCGAGGCAAGGCGCGGGTGAGGGGAGAGGTTGAGTGGAACTCGGAGAGTCCGAGACCGCAGTCGAAATCCCGAAAAAAAAAAAAATTTTTTTCGCGCCCTCCCCCACCACCATCCGAAACCGCGAGAGCGCGGCTCCGTCGCGGGGTTCGCGTCCGACGTCGGAGAGTCTCGGACCGCGGTCGAATTCCGAAAAAAAAAAAAAAATTTTTCGCGCCCTCCCCCATCTACACCCGAAACCGCGAGAGCGCGGCTCCCGTCGCGGGGTCCGCGTCCGACGTCGGAGAGTCTCCGACCGCGGTCAAAATTCCGAAAAAAAAAAAATTTTTTTTTGCGCCCTCCCCCACCTCCACCCGAAACCGCGAGATCGCGGCTCCCATCGAGTCGCGGGGTTCCGACGTCGGAGAGTCTCCGACCGCGGTCAAAATTCAAAAAAAAAAAAAAAAATTTTTCGCGCCCTCCCCCACCTCCACCCGAAACCGCGTTATCGCGGCTCCCGTCGCGGGGTCCGCGTCCGACGTCGGAGAGTCTCCGACAGCGGTCAAAATTACGAAAAAAAAAAAAAAAATTTTTTCGCGCCCTCCCCCACCTCCATCCGAAACCGCGAGATCGCGGCTCCCATCGAGTCGCGGGGTGCCGACGTCGGAGAGTCCGGGACGGCGGTCGAAATCCCGAAAAAAAAAAAAAAATTTTTTTCGCGCCCTCCCCCACCTCCATCCGAAACCGCGAGATCGCGGCTCCCGTCACGTCGCGGGGTGCCGACGTCGGAGAGTCCGGGACCGCGGTCAAAATTCAAAAAAAAAAAAGTAAAAATTTTTCGCGCCCTCCCCCACCTCCATCCGAAACCGCGAGATCGCGGCTCCCGTCACGTCGCGGGGTGCCGACGTCGGAGAGTCCGGGACGGCGGTCGAAATCCCGAAAACGAATCGATTTCTCCGACCGCTCGCTCAAACGAGCGAGAGCGGAGAAAACGTTTTCGATCGCGACTTCGAGCATTTGAAAATCCGGCGAGGGAGAGAATGTTCCGAGCCGTCGAAGCGACTTGCTCGCAAAAGATTCGACGATCGCACGAATGATTTTTTCACATTCTCGCACGCGCGCTCCGATAAAATCGTTTTCGCGACGGCGAAAGGCGACGGATTCGAGCGTGCGATCGCAACGCGATAAGGCGACGACGAGGAGAAAGCGCTCTTCGCTCGCGGAGAGCGCTTCTCGCGGAAGAAAAAATCTTCGTATAAAAGTGCTGCGTGCGTCGTTCGCGATTCGATTTCTTCGCGTCGCCGCGTCGGGTCCGGAGAGCGTGGATTTCTTTTTATTTTTACTAAAATAAAAATTGAAAAACACGCGGGGGCGACGACGACGCAAGAAAAAGATGATCGGACGACGAATCGATGCGCACATCCCTGGTTGATCCTGCCAGTAGTCATATGCTTGTTTCAAAGATTAAGCCATGCATGTCTCAGTGCAAGCCGAATTAAGGTGAAACCGCGAAAGGCTCATTAAATCAGCTATGATTCAATTGATGGTACGATCACGGTTACTTGGATAACTGTGGCAATTCTAGAGCTAATACATGCCAAACGAGTTCCGACCGCGGGTTCGAACGATCTCGCGGAACGAATGCTTTTATTAGAACAAAACCAATCGGATCTCGTTCGAAAGAACGAGATCCGCAAATCTATGACGAATCTGAATAACTTTGAGCTGATCGCACGGTCCACAGAACCGGCGACGCATCTTTCAAATGTCTGACTTATCAACTTTCGATGGTAGGTTACGCGCCTACCATGGTAATAACGGGTGACGGGGAATCAGGGTTCGATCCCGGAGAGGGAGCCTGAGAAACGGCTACCACATCCAAGGAAGGCAGCAGGCGCGCAAATTACCCACTCCCGGCACGGGGAGGTAGTGACGAAAAATAACGATGCAGGACTCTTTTCGAGGCTCTGCAATCGGAATGAGAACACTCTAAATCATTTAACGAGTATCCATTGGAGGGCAAGTCTGGTGCCAGCAGCCGCGGTAATTCCAGCTCCAATAGCGTATATTAAAGTTGCTGCGGATAAAAAGCTCGTAGTTTGATTTGTGTTCCGAGCAGTCGGTACGCCGTTCGTCGGCGGTCAACTGACTCGCGGCGGAACGTCCTGCCGGTTGACGGAGCGGGTGGCGGCGGCGGCGCGGGGGTTCGTCGACGTTTCTG